TTTCTTTCATCAGCCCCCTTGGTTCCATCCTTCAGTTCTTGCCGCCCTTATTTGTTAATTCTTGTGACAATGAATCCTCTCTCTTCCATTAGCTCCTCTTTAAATCAGTCAGTTTTTTCCTTCCTGTTACTCTTTTTTTCTTCTTCCTTATATCATTATACTGTTCCTCCAGATGAAGAAACCTTGGCCTTTTACTTTCAGAGAACATTGCTATTTCCATCTGTTCATTCTCAATCATCTAATATTTTTACATTTGATTGGATAGGATTTGAAGCCTTGAAGCTTAAATGTAACAGCACGTAAATATTAGGAGAATAGGAATCACATCTGACAGGTTTTCATAAACAACACAAATATTTGCTATGTTGAAAGGCACAAAGATGTTTACAGTTGCTGGTGAAGTCCAAAAGGCACAGCACCCCAGAAACCATTATACAAAAGTGCAACGTTTTTGCATTTTTGAATAGAAAAGAAAGAGTAACTCTAATTATGGGATGTAGCCATTTTGGGAAATTATGGGATCTAGCCGTTTTGGGCCATTGACAGGGCATCCAAATATGGAAAGGTCTGTGTGGAAGTGAAGCTGGGATTGTGGTCTGCATTTGGGAAAATAGTTGCAGCCAGGCAGAAATGCTTCCCCTCCCCCCCGCCCACATTTCCCTAAGGCTAAGCTCATACTTTTCTCCAAGGGCTGTAAAAGTTTGAAGTCCCACGAACTTAATTAATTAATTAATTAATTCCCACACACATGCACAGTTTACTCACAAGCATGCACACTGGCGTTCCAGCTACCTGGCTAATTGAGCCACACCCTGGCATTTTCAGGAACATGCCAATGTCCAGAGGCAGCCTCACCCCACCCAGGCCCTTAGCAAATGCTAAGACAGAGAGCTGTGCATAGGAGAAAAGGAGATAAGGAAATGAGGTCAGCAGGCAAGGAAGTGGGAGGCGATGTTTGGAAATTTACAACTCTTACAGGCAGGCAAGAGGGCTATCAGTCAACTGCCAGGACCACAAGCTACAGTAAGCAGCTTATCCTGGTGGGATTCCTGCCTGGAGCTTGGCTGGGGAGCTCAGCTGGAGGGCTCAAAAGCCATGCTGCTTAAGAGCAGAGCTTGGAGCTCGGCCTGGGGCTTGGCAGCAACCAGAAGAGGCACAACCACACTGAGGCAGTGCCTCATCCCAACCTGTGCAAGAATGAATGGAGGAAGGCAAAGGTTGTATGCCACTTTACAGACTTTGAGACTATTGTTTGTTTTAAAGACTGAGCATTAAAGACATGTTTATGTGGTTACATCAACTTGCAAAGCCTAGGAGGGTGGAGTTAACCCAGGCAACAGTCTATTGTTGGGGAAGGTGTGTGCCACAATAAAGTATTGTGAATAGTTATCTGCTACACTGTGGTGTGTCCAGTCCTTGGAAAGCGAAGAACCCTGACAGGGTCAACAGTGTCTCCACTGTTGCTGGAGGTATTGAGTGATGCACTGTTTACTTGATGAGCAATCTTCCATTGTGATAGTTTATCATGATTGCCACTTTAGAGCAACCAAAATTATTGAGATGCAGGGGTCATTATCATACGATAAAACAGAGGTGGGTAGATTCTAGGGTTGTGGATCTACTTTATGTTTTAGTAGAACCCCATGATCCAGAAAAAGAGTCGAATGAATGAATGAATGAATGAATGAATGAGAAAAACTCACATAACTGAAGAATCCTAAGCCTCCAAGTTTAGTTTCAGTAGTAGAATTGTATAGGATTCACACTACTTTCACACTCAGATGAACTCTAGCTGTCTTCAGCTTTCTTTTATTTTTCAATATAGTTTAGATTTGGAAGGCAGATTCGTGCTTTGAAGCTGCTATTACTCACCCACTGGAATCAGAATTCCTTGCTGGTTACCTATAAATCACCTAGAAAGCTCCAGCACATTTGGTCATTAATAGTCAAGTGGCTAAGTTTTGATCCCAAATCACACGAGAAATTAATGTTAATGGAAGAACCCAAATCTGAAAATATCAGGGAAGATGTTTTACTGGAATTCTTTGACTAAGCAAAGGATCAATACTTTAAATAAGTTGATTTCTAATGATTGTTTTAAAAACTTAGAGAGTTTGCATGTTGAATATGACTTACCTACAATATTTGCTTGGCAATATGTACAGCTGAATATGTACAACTAACAAAACAGCATAGCCTGGAGGCTCTAGAAGCCTCCAAGCTACCTGCAATTTTAAGATCTTTCAGAAATGCAGCATCTGAACTGAAACCAACCACTCAATTTTATAATGAATTACAAATAAAATTAAAGTTAGTATTAATTAATTTCAGTTGTGGTAAGAAGAATTGGAATATTTTGGAATTGGAATAACTTCCAATATTGTGAGATGGCAGCAGGATATAAATTTAATCAATCATTCAATTAATCAATAAATACATTTGAAGATGTAATGAGTCCAAGTGTTTGAAAAGTAAAATATACTCCCTATGATTAAAAAATGAATTTAATCAGAAAATACTATCTCACGTTTTATTGGACCTCTCAAAGAATTCTTAAAGAGGGATGGACGGACATTAGATTTTGTGTGCGTGTGTGTGTGCTGGTGTTGCAAGAAATTTGAAGCATCTTTTACTCTATGATCTCATTATGTCCAGCTATAGCATTATTTCAAATCATTACATATTGGAGGAATATATATTAAGGACTTAAATGTGAGGTTGAACTATATTCCTAAAAACGCCATTTGTCGTCTACTGAATAGCTTTGCCTCTACTGAGCCTAGGCACAGCATGAAGCATAATTTAATTAATGTAACCCTAACACGTGGCTGTCCAGCATCAACTTGGAAACATTCAGTAAATGGGGAGCCCATCTTTCTTAGGGGCAATTCCGCCATGCTCTGGCACTTGGCTGATATAAAAAAAGCTAAGTAGTATCAGACCTGACTAGTACTTGGATAGAAGATCACTAGGAATCCCATAGATTAGGAAGCTGAAAAAAATTCTGGAAGAAAGCAAATCA